GGTAACAATCCTATTCAATAACAACTGTTATTGTCAGTTACCCTAACGATGAGATGAGCTCTAGGTAACAATCCTATTCAATAACAACTGTTATTGTCAGTTACCCTAACGATGAGATGAGCTCTAGGTAACAATCCTATTCAATAACAACTGTTAGTGTCAGTTACCCTCACGATGAGATGAGCTCTAGGTAACAATCCTATTCAATAACAACTGTTATTGTCAGTAACCCTAACGATGTGATGAGCTCTAGGTAACAATCCCATTCCAGGGTAACTGACAATAACAGTTGTTATTCTCATCTCATCGTTTGGGATTGTTACCTAGAGATTCAATAACAACTGTTATTGTCAGTTACCCTAACGATGAGATGAGCTCTAGGTAACAATCCTATTCAATAACAACTGTTATTGTCAGTTACCCTAACGATGTGATGAGCTCTAGGTAACAATCCCATTCAATAGCAACTGTTATTGTCAGTTACCCTAACGATGAGATGAGCTGTAGGTAACAATCCCAAAAGTTGCGCCAAAAGACATTGATGTCTCAGGTAGAGACTGTTTATGTCACAGGGGGTAGAAGAGAGTTTCTCTACCGATGAAATTGAGTTGAATGGACGGCAACTGCTTGTTGTAGAAATACAAGTGTAGAGGACGACGTTTCGAAAGTCTTCCGCCTTTCGTCTTTAGGTCTTTAGACGGAAGACTTTAGAAACGTCGTCCTCTACACTTGTGCTTCTACAACAAGCAGTTGCCGTCCATTTAACTAAATTTCATCATGAATACTCTGCCTAAACAACCTACCAAAGAAGTACCTTTACTGAGGTTATCAGTAGTATTATGGCTGTATATAGTCCTATTGATCCCCATCTTTTTACGTTTCCTAGTTACAACATACGACACATCATATGGCGCTTTCTTTTCCAGCAGTCGCATTCCTTCCCATGGTTACCATTTTCAACTTACTAATGCAGAGGAGGTCGATATCCTGACAGTAGAGTTGTGCTGGTTTTGGTAAAGAGGCTTCTCCTGCAAGCTTGTCAGCTTCCTCGATTAGTTTTATCCCTGCACAACCTGGCGCATTCATTGCAGTTGCTTTGATTCTCCCATCCATTTCGCGACCAAATCTCTCAATTTTTACGTCGTAACGCCTGCTAGTTAGCATCAAATATTACACTGGTGACACTGTCATTTCGAGTTTCATTATTTGAAGAAAGTATGAATACTCCACGAACCTTTTGCATAATGTTGTTGTTTCATGAGACGATGAATGCCAATCTCGCTCCCTGAGGTATAGGAACATTTTGAGTCTGTGATGACAGGCTTAATTTTCATCATGATTTTTAAATATGTAGTGGTAGGCTTTTATCTTCTTCGCCCTTCGCTCAGTCTCTGCATTTCTGTTTAGTCTGATTTCTACAGATCCCAATGGCGCCAGATGTTATTTTCACATGGGAAAGTCTGAAATCTAGTGGCTGTATGGCTACTTTTCACCAATTACTGTCCCCTGAGGCACCTTTTAGGCAATCTCCTGTTCGTTCGGTGCCTGCGCGGTTATTGTGGTGCCGTAATGTTACAATTGAAAAGGACAGTGACTCAATATGAAATACATGATCTTCACACTTCAAGGTCTTAGTGAAGATTGCTTGTAAGCGCTGTTGATGCTCGTGATGGGTAATAGGGTCTCGATGGAGGTGAGTGGACGAAGTACCTCCCGTGACCATTCTTAAACAGGTGTTTTGTATCTTTTCTATCTTATCTAGCTGCGTAGCACTCATACTAAATTATCAGTAGTGCCCTGATACTAGTGAACTGTACAGTCACACAAACGTTGGTAAACATACGTATATGTTTATCACAACCCAAAATAAGTAAGGAATATTTAAAATACTGGATAAATCGTTTTGTTTAGTATTTTAAATTCAGGCCCAGTTTGTGTGTATGAATAATTATTATTTTATTAAGTATATTGGAAGTTGGTGAGGACCACATCGAGTGTTCATCGCACAGGCTACAGTAACAAAGTTTTAATATACTGGATAATTTATTCTGTTAAAATCATTTCACTTGCTTTGTAAGCATTCAATGATTGTATATTTCGTTAGACGAAACTTTAAAATGTTCATAAACAATAAATTTATACTTCAACGTGAAGAAAGATTCCTCATATTTCTGTTGTATTTTGCAATGTTTTAAATATAAAAGAACTGGTGTATTTGCTTTAATAAAATAGGTAAAAGTCTGATACGTTTGTGCAAGGAAAATACATTTAAAATTACGTCAAATTTTCAATTATTTGGCCAACTGAGTAAAATTTTAATTCAGTTAATGCTACTGATATACTTTTAATCTGTAAAATTGAAACAGTACGATATATTATATTCAGCAGAATGACTTGAAATATTAAGAAAAAAAAGATTATTAATTTGCTCGAATAAGTTTACATTTTGAGTGTAAAAGAGTATTTTAAAATATAGTTATTATTATATTAGGCCAAGAAATGGTTTGTTTATATGGGCTGGATAATATTGTATTTTAAACCTAAGAAAGGATACTCTAACATAAAATGATGTCTCAGTTTTGGTTTACAGATTATCCACGATTGCAGTTGAAAGTAGAACTAGATAACTGTCAGTTTTCCAACAATAAAAATAGAACACTCCAATATTCATCTTGTCCTTGTTTCAATAAACGTTTCTCCAACAATAAAAATAGAACACTCCAATATTAATCTTGCCCTTGTTGTTTCAATAAACGTTTCTCCAACAATAACAATAGAACACTCCAATATTAATCTTGCCCTTGTTGTTTCAATAAACGTTTCTCCAACAATAAAAATAGAACACTCCAATATTAATCTTGCCCTTGTTGTTTGAATCCTCGCCCTTTTTGTTTCAATAAACGTTTCTCCAACAATAAAAATAGAACACTCCAATATTAATCTCGCTCTTGTTGTTTCAATAAACGTTTCTCCAACAATGAAAATAGAACACTCCAATATTAATCTCGCTCTTGTTGTTTCAATAAACGTTTGGACCAATTTTCGTGACTTAGCCAAGGTTAGATAAGACAAGAATGCAACCAACCACCCAAGTCTGATTTAGAAAGCGAACAAGTTGCTTTTAATACACAAGTTTTATTTATTGATTTTTCACACCACACGTGTATTTTCCTCGAAGTATCGCAACATAAGACTTCATTTCCTATTCTAGTTTTAATAGCTTCCTGGTTAATGTTAACAACTCGTTTTATAAAGTCACTGCCCCACCCAGTGGCACAGCAGTATATCTTCGGACTTATAACGCTAGAAACCGGGTTTCGATACCCGTGGTGGGCAGAGCACAGATAGCCCATTGTTCAGCTTTATGTTTAATTACAAACAAATAAACAAATATAAAGTTACTGATCATCAGTGTATTTTCAGATTATTCTGTTTTATGGAACTAAAGTTACCTTAGATAGAGTATTTAAGTAATTCTAATATGAATAATACTGTAATATTTTTTTTTTAAATTACACTAGCCAAAAACCTAAAATTATCCAAACATTATATAAGCAAACACGTAGCATAAGAAGCAGAGTCGGTTATTACGATGGAAGACAAAGTTAGACTGTTGATAACAAAACGTTATCTCAGTGGCGATGTGGCCCCCAGTGGCACAGCGGTATGTCTGCGGACTTACAACGCTCAAAACCGGGTTTCGATACCCGTGGTGGGCAGAGCACAGATAATCCATTGTTTAGCCTTGTGCTTAACTACAAACAAATAAACAGTGGCGATGTTGTTACTTATTGCTGCTTTTACTTAAGCACATAAAGACAGAACAGTACGAATAACAGCACTTACTATTTGGATGATTCGAATAAACCCCAGGGGCTCTTTCAAAACACGAAAATGGAGTTCCATATGTGCGACTTAGCCGAGCAGCAGTCCAGACGAGTTGGAAGGAAACTTCGAAGCTACTGGTTTCTGAGGTAGAAATATATGTTGAAACCCTTCACGTAGAGAAACGCTCTGAATTAGAAAAAAAACAAAAAAAACGTTAGGAGTCAACCTAATAAAGTATAAAATTCGCACCTACCTACAGACACATATATATATAGAACGATAAAAGTTGGACCTGTTGAAAGCGCTCGGGTCATAGGGTTTTCATCGTTATAAATTAAGACTTATTGAACCTACGTGTTTTTCTGACATCATTTACATCTAATTATGTTACTTGTTTATATAGCTCTTTAAATAAGCCTACGCCCCCTGGTGGCTTAGCGGTAAGCTTGAGAACTTATAACATTAAAATTTGATTCAATCTCTACTTGGCAGAGTACTGATTGCCCACTGTGCAGCTCCGCGCTTAAAATAAACTAAATAACTTAAACTTTATTTTAGATTATTAAGATATTAAAATTCCACAACCTACTTCTCGCAATACCTTATACTTAGGTCATTTGCACTGTGTCTGCGTACATAGCCTTTGTACTGACGTTTTGTACTTTTCTATTTTCTGCACCTACGTAACAGTTGTGAGCCATGGATCAAAGCAAGGATGAGTGATCTCATATGTTTTAGCTAAACGAAAGCAAACATCTATGAAACATGACATTCGTACCAGTTAATATGAACACATGTAATTTATAAAACTTTAAAACTAGAAACAAAAACCGATGTACAGAAAATATTCTTGAAAATCTTACTAAACATCAAAGCTGGTTGATCTTATCACGTGAAAAAATTTATCTGTAAAGGGAAGCGCAAATGACGATAAAATTAAATGGGAAATCTTAGCCTTGTTCCTATAGAATTTAGGGAGTGAGTAGATGGAAAATACCTATATTAAATACACTTATTCCCATAGAACTTAAGGGAGTGAGTAGATGGAAAATACCTATATTAAATACACTTAAAAGTGTATTTAATATAGGTATTTTCCATCTACTCACTCCCTAAGTTCTATGGGAACAAGTGTGTTTAATATAGGTATTTTCCATCTACTCACTCCCTAAGTTCTATGGGAAAGAGGAGTTAGGTTGAAAAGCCGTCTAATGGACACTATATTTTGAATGTCTTATGGAAGAAAAACAGAGAAATCAGCCTGAGAACTTTCGAAGTATATCAGCAGGAAAATTTTCAACTAGTGTCAGGTCCGACGTTGTGAAAAGGTTTACGGAGTTACAACGCTAAAATCCAGGGTTCGAGTTCCCGCGGTGGACACAGTAGATAACTCAATGCGGCTTTGCTCTAAAACGAAACAAGCAAAACTGTATGAATTCTCTTATAAGAAATACTCAATGTAGGTCCGTTTTCATCCTCCGTAGTATTTCTTTCATTTTCGGGCCTCAGGATCTTACTGTCTAATGCTAAGCTATCATTACAGTTTTAATTGTGACTCATGTTGTCTTCATGGGATGGATTATGTGTTTAGTTTCCAAGGTCCCTTCCAGATTTAGATAATCTGCCCTTTTATTGGATTTTCTGTTCTTACTCTATTGGCTGTCCAGATAATTTGGTCGATTATCCGACCTTCTGAGACAAGTAGTACAGGGTTACAAGTCATTAATAGTAGGCTTAAAAACCTGACCTGACACTAATAACAAACGTCACGAAAAGGTAAAAATCACAAGTCAACATTGAGGTGGAGGAAGTGTTTGATAAAAGATGTAACAAATCCAGTTTTGTTGAGACGAAGCAGTAAGTTTGTAATTGCTATTGAATCTCAAATTTCTTGAGCCTTGAGTTTTGTCTATGATTTTAAAATGTTCTTTCTTTGCATAAACATTACCCCCCTCCCCCAAAGGCTTAACGATAAGCTTGAGGAATTATAACGCTAAAACTGAGATTCGATACCCCCATGTGCTTTGTCGAATGTTGTCATCTTGCTTTTTTTCGTCAACGTCGTCATCGGCCATTGTCTCCTCTCTGCCTCCTGAACTTCCAGACATTTCTCAAATCAACTTCAAGACATTATATCCGCCTAATTAATAGTTCTGACCCATCTCCGAAACTTTATTAACCCCATGAACTCAGCAAGAACTTTTTCGTGTGCGGGGCGAGGGGGATATTAATATCCCTGAATATTCCAGTTTAGGAAAGTTTTCTTTCCTTTAAAACTAAATCCCTGCCACGGTTTTTTTTTGTTGTTTTTTTTCGATACCCGCGATCGGCAAAGCGCATATAGCCCATTATGTAGCTTTGCTTTTAATAAAAACATCAAAAAATATGCTTAATAATGCTGAATTTTATAATTGATCTTATAAAGCAGTGTTCCTTTATGGGCGTGTCTCAAGAGCGGACAGCGCTTCAAATGTAGGTGGACTAACATTAAACACAGTTGTGTTAATTCATCGCTAATGATGATTGTAGGGCTGGCGCGATGTAAGTTGCAGTGTATTATATTAGTCGTAATCTCGTTTCAAAAAACAGATAATTCTGTTAGAATCCTGTTATTAATTGTATGAAAATATGCTTTCTTGGTTGTGGATTTCACCTCAGATAGAAGAACTGACTGAAATCAAAATTGTCTCGTTTTCATAGATTTCTAACAAAGTCAAATAATGCATTGTTAACATGTTTTGTTAGGTTTTGTAATTTTAAACTATTAAAACGTGCTTTAGAAAATTAAACGACGGTAGATACGTCCAAAGTATGCTGGAAAACTTCCAACAAAAATGAGATGGGGTGGTTACAAACAAAACTTTAATGATATTTGGTAGTTTCGGCCCGACTGGCACCTCGCGCATCACATGAGATAAACGGTCAAGTCAGCCATCCATAATTTTAAACTTCTGAACAGAAAGAGCATAGCCAGCTAGCACCATCCGCCGCCTGTACGACTACACTTAACCGAATTGCTGGATTGATTTTCGTATAACACAATCAGAACCGAAAGCGTGAAACGTGACCCTCGAGATATCGTGACTTCGAACCTTGGACGTTCCGATTTACAGTCAAGCACTCTAACTCGAACATGGTGATTGAAAATAAGATAAAATATTTATTTTAAACTTCTTAAATAATACTAAACAAACAACTAAGCAAGAGAAACAACAAAAGAAATAATAATCGCCAGTTCATGTCTTGTTCATATATTATAACACTTCAAATCTGTTTCTGTTAAATAAACACGTGAAAGGAAATCAAATAGAGGATTATTACTCGTTCTGTTTGATAAACAAAAGATACCATTGTTGCATATCATGATAAACAGAAGAAACCGTTGTTGCATATCATGATAAACAGAAGAAACTATTGTTGCATATCATCATAATCAGAAGATATCATTGTTGCATATCATGATAAACAGAAGAAACCGTTGTTGCATATCATGATAAACAGATGATATCATTGTTGCATATCATACATTTAATTTTCGGTTTCCTACACATTCGTTTTGTTTGATAAACAGAAGATACCATTGTTGCATATCATGATAAACAGAAGATACCACTGTTGCATATCATACATTTAATATTCGGTTTTCTTCACGTACTAGAATTATTTTATTTTCATTTTGATGCATAATCCTTTCTAACTTAGAAGTTATTTCATCTTTAAACTGATTTGTTATTGTAATATGTGTGTATGAATAATTATTTTAGTAATTGTGTATTTTGCTTGATTAAATGAATGGTTATGTTTATAACCAAGTGTATTTTTGTTAACATGGTAGTTGTACATGACACTATTTATATTATGTTTATAACCAAGTGTTTTTTTTTTGTTAACATGGTAGTTGTACATGACACTATTTATATTATGTTTGTTCACGTGGATAGTTCTGGTTGTAAGTGTCCTTACGTTCTGGTATTTTCACGTAATAATCTCTATCTACATCTAGTTTTAATACACATATATATTCTAATTTGATTGATTTACTGTTAACGAATGTTGTTCTTCCTGTAATTATTTCGGTTTAATTAAGATTCTGTTTGTTGTAAAGCAAAAAAAATATATAAAAAAATTGCATTTCTAGTGGTTGCATGCGCCACTCCGAAACGTCCATGTTAGTTTTCTTTAGGTTCAAAACAACACGTATTGACATATATGCTTGCTGTCGGCATTTATCCAATACGTAAAGAGTGTTGTTTGACTAAATTAAATGTCTTAAAATTAAAAAGAAATATCTTTAAAAAACGAAAATACGATATACATATCTATCTATATATATATATGTTATCAATACAGTATTCAGTTTTAGACAATCTGTAATTGAGTTGGTGTTATTATTAACAATAAATATATAAAAAAGAAAATGAAAAGTCAACATTTTTGTAAAGATGTGTAAGTATTTTCAGTATGAAACGTTAAAAAGAAGGTGGCCAAGTTCAAGCATTTGTTTAGAATTAAGCACAAAGCTACATAATTAGCTATCTGTGCTCTGCCCACCACGGGTATCGAAACACAGTTTCTAGCATTATAAGTCCGCAGACATGCCTCTGTGCCACTGGGAGGCAAGTGTAAATAGGTGTTTTGTTGTTGTTTTAAATGTGCTTTGAGACTTAGTACACTTGGCATTTCAATCTGATATCAAAACTCTAATGTATTTTTGCTTTTGTCTGTTTTGTAACTTGGGCTCTCTTACTTTTTCTTTTTTTACATATCATGTTTTATGTTTACTCCTTACTTGCGTGTAAACTTAATCAGAAACTGACAGTTACCCGTCATCCTTAGTGAGCGATCACGCACGTGCTTCAGGTATTGTATGGCATGTGTAGTGTGGGATTTAAGGTAGTTGAAAGCGTTTTATTTAATTAAATATAATAAACTTAACGACCTTGAACCTGATGATAACAAAACAAAGACGGGTTTCTACTTCCAACCATTAGTTATCTAATGCAAACAACAATTTGAGTGTTTTCATATTTGGAACGAGGTGTTGGTCAGTTGAAAAACAGTGAGAAGCGCGCTATGTTTTTTTAATAACTTTAGCATATTTGACTCCAGAAGTACGAAACTTGCAGGATGTGTTCTTGATGTAGTTTGTTTTGTTTTGAATTTCGCGCAAAGCTACACGAAGGTTA